ATCGGACATCAGCAATGATATCTCTCGTTCCACGGCCTCTTCTGAATCCGGCTTGAACCTCTGGAAGTTCTCTGTCAATGTATGATTGTAGCCGTTTCTGAATTACCTTTAGCAAAACTTTACTCACATGGGATATCAAAGAGATTGTCTGATGATTTCCATATTCCATTGGGTCACCTCTCTTTGGAATGGGCATAAACATTGATCTCTTCCAATCAGTCGGCCAGACAGTTGTCTTCCAAATTTCTTGGCAGAGATGAGTGAGTGCCTCCTGTGCCTCCCCACTTTCTTGAAAGATTTCAATTTTTAGTCCATCATTTCCTGGTGTCTTGTTCTTTGCCAATTCCTTCAATGCACCTTGAACTTCCTCCTTCAGTATCACTGGCTCTTGATAATATGCTACCTCTTGAAACGGTGGCACTTTCAATATTCTCCTCCAACACCATAACTCAAGAGCACCAATTTTTCTACTGTCTTCCTTATTTACCGTCCAGCTTTCACGTAAATATGAGGTGACTGAAAATACCATGGCTTGGGTCAGGCGCACCTCAGTCCTCAAGCTGACATCTTTGTTCTTCAACACTTTAAAAAGTTCTTGTGCAACAGATTTACTTAATGCAATATGTCATTTGATGTCTTGACTATATATATAAAATTAGGGGTAATATGTGTAAAACATACCAATGGAGGAAGAAAAGAAATTAACTCCACTGGTAGCATAGTGATTACGAATCTGTCTGCTAACCTCAGGATCAGCAGTTCAAAACTACCAGCTGTTCCGCGGGAGAAAGATGAGGCGTTCTGCTTCCGTAAAGATTTACAGCCTCGTATACCCTGTGCAGGGTCACTATGAGTCGGAACCGATTTCACGGCACTTAACAACATCATCCTGGTGTGGCGCTGAAGGATCAGCACTGGACTTCAACCACAAGCTGAGAAGAAGTTCAAGCCCCACAGCTGTTCCTCAGAAACCCTATACAAGGGTTGCTATGAGTCATAATTGACTTGCCAGGTACTTAACAACAACAAAATCATATGCAACAGAATTCTGGTAACCATGAGGCTAGTGGTTCAAACCCACCTTCAGGTTACCATGAATCTGAATCAACTGGACAGCACTTGACAGCAACATATACAATGGAGTCCTGGGGTGGCGCTGTGAGATAAGCACTCAACTGCAAGGTCAGCTGTTCAAATCCACCAACCACTTCTCGGTTATTCTATATAGGGTCGTAATGAATTGGAACTGATTCGATCGCACTTAATAGCAACAACATATGCAATAAAAGACACGCTAAACCAATGTATTTACAAGGGTATGATTTATTTACCTCATGAAAGTTTATATTCTTTCAATTTTTGGCTCAATGAATCTGCATAATCATCACTAGGAGTCAGTATCACGTTTTTTTTATTCAAGTGACTAAAAAATGTATGTTGTAAGAAAATACAGTAAACTTTCAATCAGAGTCATTTTTTTCTGACTTTGATAACTTGTGAATCAATAGCTCTTAGAAGCACCACTATTAAGTAGAATCTACACCATCCTGGTAGCGTAGTGGTTACAAATCGGGCTGCGAACCGCAAGGTCAGCAGTTCGAAACTACCAGCTGTTCCATGGGAGAAAGATGAGGCTTTCTGCTCCCGTAAAATCTTAACTCAGAAGTGTGACAAATCAAATAAACATACTACTCCATGATGATACTGCAACATAAAAAAAAAAAATTGCTACAGAAACTGTATAATACTGAGAGAAAAAAAATGAGAAAAAAAACACAACCAACTATTTCAAAAAACACAAAGAAGGTATTGAAAGAAGCACAGTAAAACAACAACAACAAAAAGACCCAGATTTATTCCGAAAAGACAATCCTTTGACAAAAAAGAGAGAAAACCTATTCTAAATACTAAACCTTAAAAGTTTTATTAAAACCTTACATTGCCCATTTGGGAGGCCTATACAAATATTTAACTGTAATAATGTAACTTCAACAGCATACTAAAAAATAAGCAAAATCCTGTACTCTTGGAAATTACCAAACTAATTATTAGAATGGACTTCTGGTGTGGCACTGTAGGATCAGCAGTGGACTGCGAAACCACAAGGTCGGCAGTGAGTTTGAAGTGCCTTATACAGGGTCCCTATGAATTGGAGTAAGTCATTGGCACTTAACAACAGCAACAATTATTAGAATAACTTGCCTCACTATTTATTTAGAAATGTTCTATTTAAAAGTAGGCCAACAAAAGGAACTTTACTATTGCACAAGAGAAAGCAAATGAAATAATGTCTATTAACATTCAGTGTCAATGGTATGTTTCTTCATCTCCTAGAACACAGTGTGACTTACAGTCTACTCTAAACAAGTTACCAGTTCTACATCCATGCAGAAGCTCAAGTAAACTAAATTCCTGCCCTAATCCCACAATAAACCTCAATAATGCCCACATCACTGGAGTTGCAAATATTCGTTACAAGAAAACTATTTTTTCAAAAAAAAAAAATAGCTACATAACTGTGGTTGTTAAGTACAGTTGATTGGTTCCAACTCGCAGCCGCCCTATATAGGCTTTCCAAGAGCGGCTGCTGGGTTTGAACCGCCGATCTTGTGTTCAGCAGTCCAATGCTGATCCTACAAGCGCCACACCAGGACCCCACTAAGACTCCTCAAATTCCTAAATAATCCTTTACAAGACTCCTGCCAACTTTATTTTGATACTTTAAACATGTGGAGCCTATTTTAAAAGATCTGTAACTGTTACTTCATCAGATCTTCCTAGTTGCTCATATGTTTTCTTTCTAAAGTTTTCAAGGTGGTTGCAAACTAGAGTTAATACTACTGAATCTGGGCCGCTCAGAAATGCTTTAGCAGCGTTTTGGCCAAATAAAACGGACAAACGTTCTAGATCTGCTCATTCTGACAGTAGAGGTCACACAACTTCAAAACTGAAGAAGGAACTCTTATTCCCCATATTCCCCGCGCCGTCCCTGCTCAAATCCTTCCAGTTTGTCTTTCACATTCTACTTTTACTAATGTAATCTGGGTTTGTCTGAAAGGTAGTCAGACTGGCTTAAAGCACTGAAAAGCTGACTTGCCGAATAAAGCTGGTCTTGAGCGTGTGATAAATTTGGGGGGAACTGCATTCGTCACGAACGTTAAGGACCAGGCCAGTTTCATATAAGAACTTGGCTGATTAAAAAGAAGAAGGGGGACATCGAAAAAGGACGGGGCTGGGAAAGGCAGGGAAAGAAAGCCAAGAGTCCGATCAAAAAAGAGAAAGAGAAAGGCCAAGAGTGAAACGTACAGACAGACGAACAAGAAAGATTTCACAAGGAAGTGAAGCGCAGAGTCGGGCAGAACCTGCGGAGGAAAACAAATGGGGAGAAAGGTAGTGTTTTCAGGGAGGAGCGAGTGCAGGTCTGGGGTCGCCCCGGGGCGGGGTTGAGAGGTGCTGGCAGATTAACGCACAGCACCGGGGGGCCGTTCGAGCAAACTACTACTCCGGGCCGGGCGCCGCTCCCAGCGGAGGCGGCGGCGGCCGGGAAAGGGGCCTAGCCGGCAGCCAGGCCCAGCCCCCAGCGCCCCCGCCGCAGCAAGGGAAGCAGGCGAGGATGAGGACGGTCAGAGGCCATGACCCCAAATTAGTGGTACCCCGAAAATGGTGGCGGACCTCCGGGGTGCCTGCGGGCCGTTTCCCCTCCGCCCCGGGCGCCCAGCGGCCTTACCTGAAGCGAGGGAGGGAGGCGAGGTCTAAGGCGTCTCGCTCGCGCCCGGCGCTGAGCACCCCTCGGCTGCGCTCAGCCCAGGTTTCCAACGGAGGCGGGACCCTGCCTCAGACGCGGCTTCCCCCTCGGGGTCTCGGCCACCGCCGCCGCCGCCTTTGGGGCTGTTTACACCGTCGGTCCTCTCACGCCGCCGCCGCCGCCTTCTCTCCACCCTAGCGCCGTTGCCGATGCCGCCGCCGCCGCCACCTCCTCCGCCGCAGCCTCGTCTCTCTGGAGCATTTTCCAGACACCGAACCCTGAGAAACAGAGACTCCAGCCGCGCCGGCAGGAAACTCCCCCGCAACTGCTAGGGGGACAAGTCGGTCAGAACACCGGCGGCTTTTCCGCCATTGAGCAGCAGCGGCTCCGCTCCTTCTGCAACCCCCTCCCCTCACCTCCGTTCTTCCCCGCCCCTCAGTGAGCCCCGCCCCCTACTTTCACCCATTGGGAGACCGTGCGGCCTCTTGCGGTATCCGGTTTGCTGGAAGACCTGTCAATCATCGGTCTCCCTCCCAGTTCAGCTACTTGCGCTAACTCGGGACTTAGTTTTCCCCGCCCATACTGCCCCGCCTATGAGTTCCTAATCTCCCATTGGGCACAAATGATCACCTTCAATTGGTAAGGTCATCTATCCATCAAACACCGCCCACTGAGTGAGGCCCAACCTTTTATTACCATTTACTTCATTTAGAACCGCCTCTGCTACATGCTATCTCTCGGACGTAAGAACCAACCCACCCTACCAGCCATAAGTAGAGACCTCCGTCAATCAAACAACTCCCACCTGTGTCCCACCGTCCAAAGGCCGAACCCTAGCAATTTCCTTTCCGGATTGGTCCAAATGGTGAACAGAACCCTCAGTCATTGGATTTCTTTAAGTGTCCGTCACTGAACTAATTTCCAAGTCCGTCACACCGGCTTTTTTTAAATGAGCGCGCAAAAGGCGGGGAAGTATCGAAATGCGATTGGCTAGTCTATGCAAACGGTCAAACCCCGGCAGTGGATCCTCCCTGTTGTGCGGATTTATTTTTTTTACATTCAAGCCTTCCGTAAAGCAAGCGCCATAAAGGAGCCAACGGGTTGTCCAGTTATAGATGCCGAGACCTAATCCCACCCGAATTGCAGGGAGCTAACTACTGATTGGCTAACAGTTTTCCTAGGCTCTCACTGAAGGATATAAACGCCGCTCTCAGGCGTGGAGAGTGTAAGGGATAATGCAGACAAGGGCAAGAAGCTGTCTGGGAAGAGGCGGTTGTTTTACTTTAACCAATGAGTGGGATTGACGCGTGAGTGGGAAACTCTGAGCGCAAAGCTTCGGGAAGTGTTGCGGTCATAGAAAAGCCCGGATGTTCCCTAACAATGAAATCATCGCCAACCAATCAGAGTTGCTGAGCTCAAATACCTGCCTGATCTGCCTACAGCAGGCAAGAGAATCAAGGAGTGGGCGGGAAATTGAGGTCTCAAAAGAACACAAAGTGGTGTGCGAACATCACAAGGGATGCCTTCAGGAGGGTTCTGTACTACTAGATTTTTTTGTTTGTTTGTTATTTCTAGGGCCTGGCATTCAGCCCCTTGACGTTTTCAAGTTTCGTTTCTGTCAACAGAACCAGGCTTTAGAACATGCTCTTTCCTGTTGGACTCCTGCTAAGAATTTACATCTCCAACCTAAATGCACTGAATCAGAATCTACATTTTAATAAGATCCCCCAGGTTATTGTCATGTATACATAAAGAGGCCCTGACCAAAGCTCATTGTTGTTAAGTACCAAGGAGTCCCCTCCGACTCTTATTGATCCTGCACAATGTTTCCTAGGTTGCAAATCTTTAAGAGAGCAGAAAGACTCATCTTCCTCACGCAGAGCAGCTGGTAGTTTCGAACTGCAGACCTTGAGGTTAGCAGCCCGATTCCTAATCACTACGCTACCAGAGCTCGTTTGGCACCTTGAAAATGACTCCCTGGGCCTGAAGGTGACCCCAAGTCTTTTCCTTTCCCACTGAGAATTCTTAGGTATACTTAAGAATCACTTGGGGCTCTTTTAAGAATCACCTCTTTTAACCTAAAACAAAACTCCCAGCCTCACCTTCCACATTCATTCTACAGTTACTGAGTGGGTGCTAATTGACAGGTACAGCAAGTAGAAATAAGGATACAAAAAGAAATTAAGCAATTCCAATTCAAAATGATAGGCTTTGTAATTGAAGCCTGTGCAAGGCTCGGTGCTGGCTTAGAGGACATTCCCTGTGGATAGGTTTCACCAAGGAAGGCTTCATGAAGACCCTAGATGATTCTTGAATGAGTGATAGGAATTCAATAGATTATCCAAGAGTACTGATTCCTCCAGCTCTCTAATGAGACTAAGTAAGGGGCTGCCAGGTTAATTCAACACAGAACAAAACTAAAATAAAATAGATGCATTCTTACACTTACCTAAGATATGTTTTTTGTTTTGTTTTGTTTTTTGACTCAAGTGTCCTGAAAGAGAAATTAAACCTCATTTATGCTTTGGTGCACATTAGCTTTGGCAAATGATGTAAACAAAGACCCAAGAGAGGGCTATTCAGCTTAAAGACTCAGTGTTTAAAGGGGAAGGGAAATTTTAAAAATAGGACAATTGCCCAGGCCTAGTAAGGATGGCTTGCAGCCCTTTCTGTATTACCTTTAGTAAAACTTTACTCGCATGGGATATCAAAGAGATTGTCTGATGATTTCTGCATTCCATTGGGTCACCCCTCTTTGGAATGGGCACAAATACGGATCTCTTCCAATCAGTCGGTCAGATAGTTGTCTTCCAAATTTCTTGGCAGAGATGAGTGAGTGCCTCCTGTGTCGCCTCACTTTCTTCAAAGATTTCAATTTTTAGTCCATTAATTCCTGGTTCTTGTTCTTTGTCAATTACTTCAATGCACCTTGGACTTCCTCCTTTAATATCATTGGCTCTTGATCTTAAGCTACCTCTTGAAACGGCTGAACATTAACCATTTCCTTTTGGTACAGTGACGCTGTGTATTCCTTCCATCTTCTTTTGATGCTTCTGCATCATTCAATAATTTGCCCAGAGAATCTTCCAATAACGAAAGTCTCCTTGGAGGCCAGTTTGGCCAAACTTCATCTCTCATACTTCAGACATATTGTCAGGAGGGACCAGTCACTGGAGAAGGATCTCATGTTTGGTAAGGGGGAAGGTCAGAGAAAAAGAGGAAGACCCCCAACGAGATGGACTGGCCAAGTGGCAGCATCAGTGGACTCAAGCATGGCAACAGTAGTGAGGTTGGCCCATGATCGGGCACTGTTGTGTTGTGCTGTGAATAAGGTCTCAATGGGTTGGTACTGACTCGATGGCACCTAACAACAACAACAGTAACTTCCTTAATAAACCTGTATGCTGAGCAAATCTTCACACCCTTCTCTCTCTTCTCCAGCCCCTAATTACAGCATTATACTCTCCTCACAGGAGTTTTGCTGTGGCACTGTAGGATAAGCACAAGTTTGGTGCTTTAAACTCACCAGCTACTCCTTGGAAAGCCTATACAGTGAGTTATGTGTTGGGCTGCTAAGCACAAAGTCAGCAGTTCAAGTCCACCAGGCACTGCAAGAGAGAAAGATGAGTCTTTCTGCTCCCATAAAGATTTACAGCTTTGGAAACTCTATCCAGGGTCCTTATGAGTGGAATCCTACTCGATGGCACTTAACAACAACAACACTCTCCTCACTCAGTTTACAGTGCAGCCTCATCATCTCTCTCATTCAGGTGTACTCCAAGGAGTAGTCTCACAGTAAGATGAGCATCAGTATAGCACCTGAGATCCTATTAGAAGTGCAAGTTTTCAGCCTCACCCCAGAACTATTGAATCAGCATCCATTCCCTCTGGTTTTAACAAGTCATTCAGATGGTTCTGATGTGCTAGAACCATTGGGCTATATAAAAGGAGCCCTGGTGGCATTGTGGGTTAGGCATTGGACTACTAATTGCCTACTAATTTTAGTTGTTCAAATCCCCGAGCCATTTCACAGGAGAAAGATGAGGCTGCCTGTTCCTGCAAAGATTTGCTGCCTTGGAAATCCTTTGTAGTGTAGTTATTAATCGAATCAATGGTGGGTGAGTTTTGTTGGGCTTTATAAAGGAGCCCAAGAGGGTGTACTGGGTTAAGTCTTAGGGCTGCTAACAAAAAGGTTGCTACTTCAAACCCACTAGTCCATTAGAGAAAGAGGAGGCAGTCCATTTCCATAGTCACAGGCTTAGAAATCCTATGAAGCAGCTCTACTCTGCCTCATACAGTCACGATGAGGACAGTGGGTTTAGGGGTTGAGTTGTATAAATCTTCCACCTATGCCTATAAAGCCATTTTTCTCTCAAAACACTGGAGACAATTTCTTACACCTATCACATAATTTCGTCCCAGACTATTTTGTCTCTCCTTTCTTTGTGGTTTATTCACCCTATCTTGAAGATATTATTCAATTGCTACCTTTACTTACTTAATCATCTTGATCAAAAATATTTATTGAGTAACATCTTTAGAACGTTGTTGTGTATGTCAAGTCAGTTCTGAATAATCTATAGGGTTTCTAGAGTCCTGGTGTGGAGCTGTGGGTTAATGTGCTGGAATGCAAAGTAGTTGGTTTGAACCTTAAGGTCGGCAGTTCGAGCTCACCAGCTACTCCTAGGAAGCCCTATACAGGGTCTCTATGAGTTGGAACCAGCTCGACAGCACTTAACAACAACAGTAGAGTTTCTAAAGCTGGAATCTTTATGGGAGCAGAAAACCCCTTCTTTCTCCCGAGGAATAACTAGTGGATTTGATCTGCTGGCCTTGCCACCAAGGCTTCTAGTCTGTTACTTTGTCATACTGTGGTGGCTTCTATGTTGCTGTGGTGCTGGAAGCTATGCTACCAGTGTTTTAAGTACCAGAAGAGTCAACCATGGTGGACAGGTCTCAGCACAACTTCCAAACTAAGATAGACTAGGAAAAGTAAGAGATGGACAACTTCTGAGTGGTTAGCTACTGAAAGCCTTATGAATATAGAACACTGTCAGATATAGTACTGAAGATGAGTCCCTCAGGTTGGAAGGCACTCTAAATATGATAGGGAAAGAGCTGCCTCCTCAAAGTAGAGTTGATCATAATGATAAAAACAGAGCAGAGCTTTCAGGACCTTCACTTGCTGATGGGACACAACTCAAAATGAGAAGAAACAGCTGCAAACATCCATTAATAATCTGAATATGGAATGTACAGAAATTGGAAGTTGTCAAAATTTAACTGGAACACATAAACATTGATATCCCAGGCATTACTGTTTTTGTTGTTAAGTATACTGCAATCAGTTCTGACTTCTAGTGACCTAGTACAGGGTTTCTGAGGAGCTACTGGTG